AATTGATGCATCTTAGATAGCCGCTTGCAAGCTTTTAAGACCCCAGATGCCACTCACCAAAGTAGGATGCAGAATATTTTCTTAATAAGCTTTGTTATGCCAATTTGACCTAGATGTCCCCTGAAAGCATGGTTCCCAGATCCCTACCCCTGCTACTCTGTCCCTCAAAGTGTTTGATTGTATTGAGGAAACATCTTAGCTTTGGTTTAGTCCAGTTGTTCAGCCAAGTTCTTTAACCACTGCACCACCAGGGCTCCACGTCATTGATCCAAGAAGAATGAAATCCTTGACAACTTCAATTTATTCCCCATTTATCATGATATTGTTTATTGGTCCAGTTGTAGATTTTCATTTTCTTTATGTTCAGGTATAGAATTTGTCATAGGTCTAGAGAAATTTAAGCAAATGAAGAAAAGATAATTATTAACCTCAAGTAAAACAAAGATTGGTAGATGAAAAGAAATGTAGTTAGACTGTACTATAAGGCTCAACCGTAAGTAATATTTACATGGTCACAATGATGTAAACATTAAATATTGATTTAATAGAAAATTATACTGTATGCTTGGAGGCAAAATAGAGGGAAATGGTGTGTGTGTGTGTGTGTGGATGGAGTATTGTTGGGGAATATAAGACAGCTAAATACACACCTCCCATTGTAGAAAGTCAACAGATAATATCTAAAGCTTACGTTCAAGGGTCCTTGAGTGCAAATGGTTTACACTCAGCTGTTTGGTAACCGAAAGGTTGGTGGTTTGAACCCATCCAGCAGCACTGAAGAAGAAAAGATCTGGTGATCTGCTTCTGTAAAGATTACAGCCAAGAAAACCCTATGGAGCAGTTCTATTTTGTAACACATAGGGTAGCCATGAGTTGAAATTGACTCAATGCGACAGGACAACAACAACATGTTCAAAATGAAGCTTCTTAAAAAAGCCAGCTATACTTTGTCTTCTCATTAATCCCTGTCCCATATGTGCAATATCTTTTACACTCAACAGTCCAGTGGGTCTGCCTTTCTGAATCACCAGATCTAATTGAAACTTTTCAGTCTTTCTTCTGCTTGACATCTTTGTTGTATTCAACTCTGTTGATCCTTCTGTTCTTCTTGAAACTTCTCTTAGATTATGGAAATCCTCATACATTCAGTTGTACATTGGATAGCTCTGTCTAGAAATCTGAATAACACCTAAAACTTAACATATTCAAGCTGAACTTATTCTAGTCTCCCCAAGCCTACATTTCCTACCACTTTGTCTGTCTTGGTTAATGAAACTATTTTCTACCTGGTGACCAAACCAGTAAGTTGGGAGTCATCTATATTGATTACATTCCTCCCATATTTCACTGTCAGCCAATATCCTGGACCTGTGTTTTCTAGGATAACCTCTTGGAAGTTGCCTTAAGTATGGTCCTTATTATCTCTTGCAAAGATAGGTTAGTAGATACTGTGGTGGGAGCTGTGGAGTTTCTTTTCTAATTGTTGCATTTTTCTCAGTAATCAGTTGAGAACGAAGATGAGGGTGGAGATTTGAAATGAGAGGAAGAGCTATGAAATTGTTCTTTGGGAGAATGGGATAGTGAATTAACTAGAGAAATAATCTAGTTTTGTTATGGTTCCAGGAAGCGTTTAAGTCTCCTTTGGGTTATGGAGAGTGAGACCAGTAAGTGTGGCTGTGTGTTTTTTCCAACCATGATGAGTTGTGTATGTTCAAAGTATGGAGTTGATAGAGACTTGTGTGGTCACCGCTAGTTTGTATTTTTCAAGCTAGCATGATGAAGCAAGGTGGGAGGGAGCAAGTGAACTGAGGGCATATGCCAGGAGATGATTATAATGACTAATAGAATTTAAGTTGGAAAATGCAAGCTTGGAGGAGGCAGGCGCTGATTAACCAGTAAGCAAGGTATGGATGTGGTGAAACCCAGACAACATTGTGCACTACAGATCAGTAAGTAAACACAATTAAGCCCATGTGTACCTTGCTTATTGGGTGACCCATTCCTGGGAAGGCATCATCAAAAATTTGGTAGGATCAATATAAGATTCATTTGTGGTCAACTATTGTTGGAACTGGAGTATTTTGGAGTGGAAACTGAAAGATAGGAGGTGATTGTCAGGGAGTGGGATACTTGAAATGGAGACTATGGAGGCATGACAATTACTAGTAATGACAAATTTACTCTATGACTATAGGGATGAATAGCTCAGGTAAGGGTGGAGGACAAGACCTTTGGAAAAGAAGAAGTCAAAGAACTGAGAGACCAGAGTGTTAGATGGATCTGTGTGAACATTTTAATGTGTGAATATTAAAATCACCATGAATCAAAGCAGGAGTAGTAGTGGTGAGAGGAAGATTGAGTGAGGAGTTAAATCTTCAGGGAATGAGGGAGAGTCAAACGGGTTGAGGTTTGTGGATGGGTAATAAGTGAACTGAGGATATAAGATTCAAAGCTTCGAGTTTTCGAAAGGAGAGAGGTACAATGGCAGGAAGCAGCAACAAGATGCAAATAGAACACTTACTCATGTCTAGGACCAGTGGTCCAAGGGTTCTGGGAGAGAAAACATCCACCATTTGAGAGGGTTGTTAGAGAAAAAAAGTCCTCAGAGGAGAGTCAAATTGCAGTTGTGAGGAAAAAGAGTAAGTGAAACCCTAGAGAAGAGTTTGAAGATATAAGAGATTATTAATTGTCTACACACGAGGGTACAAAATTAAGGAAAATTTAATGAATTCCCTCCACGAGCTGTCCCTGAGTCTGTAGTTTGGCTAAGAGTTGGGTGGCACAAGTTGGGTAGTTAAGCACTCTACTAGTAGTCGAAAGATTGGTGGTTCAAACCTTGGTAGACAGACCTGGTGATCTGCTTCCAAAAGGTCACAGCCCAAAGCCTTGAACACACTATGGAGCAGTTCTACTCGGCACACATGGACTCACCATGAGTCAGAATCGACAGCAACTAACAATAACAACAAACAACCCCAAACATAAACATAACATAACATAACATAACATAAACAGAACAATTTATTATTTCTCCAAATTATGCAACTCGTGTTGGGGTCATCTGGGCAGTTCTGCTGCACATAGTGTCTGCTGGGGTTGGAACATCCAGGATGTTCTTCTCTCACATGTTTGCAGCTGGGAGAATTGGAACAACTGGAGTCTGGTTGGGCATCTCTCTCCCTCCCTTCATGTTCTCACCACCTAGCTAGCTTGGGATTCCTTACAGCAAGGTGGTCTCAGGGTATTTGGCTTCTAACATGGTCTTTGGCTTCCAAAAGCAAGGAGATGGAAGCTTAAGTCTCAGTCTAGAACTGGCACAACGTCACTTCCACTGCATCCTATTGGTCAAAGCAAATCACAAGCCAGCCTAGATTCAAGGAGAGGTAAAATAGATTCCATCCCTTTATTTGAGAAACAGCATGTACAAACCTAGGGTAAGGAGGAGTCAGGAGGAATTGATGCCAGCCATATGTAGAGACTATCTCCACAGTGCTTATACCAGGATAATCTGTGTCTTGTAAACCCTTTTTAAATTCTACTAAAGTGATCAAATTCACATTAAGACACGTCTCTCTAAATAACTTTAGACTCAACTTCGTGGTCTGCATCAGGATCTCTGAAACTTCATCCAGAAGAGCATCTCCCATACCCCAATACTCTTGAATTCAGTTCAATTGAACAGTTCTTAAATACTTGTTGTAAACAATACCTTATTTTTTGCCTTTCCCTTCCATCCTATCCTTACCTTTCCCAAATCTTCTAGCTCTGCTGCGTCTTTTCTTACTACTGATGCTGTTCCCACATGACACCATGTGCCCAGCATTTGAGATGCCTTGAATGTTCTTTCAGCTCCTTCCCTGTTACCTCTCTTGGAATAAAAACTAGTCACTGTTGAGTTGACTTTAACTCGTAGCACCCCCATGTGTGGCAGAGTAGAATTGTGCTCCACAGCATTTTCAATAGCTTATTTTTTTGGAAGCAGATGGCCAGGCCTTCCTTAAAAGGCACCTCTGGATGGACTCAAACTTTCAATTTTTCAGTTAGCAATAGAGTGTGTTAACCATTTTATTATCACCCAGGGATCCTCTCCTGGAATATGCCTGAAAAAAAAAAATCATGTCCTCTTGGAACCTAGACAGGTTCATGAACCAGTGGTGGATGCGTTTTTTGCCTCATTCCTGGTAATTCCGCTTACATTCTCCCACCCTCACCTCAGGTAAATAATTATTTTTTGCCTTTCTCCCAAAGTGAACTCAGTCTTCTTCATTTACATTTTGTTTTTTTCTAATTATGTACGGAAACAGACCTAGAACTTTGATGTGCTCAGATGTATCAACCTTATTTCTATTAGAACATGAGATTCTTGAGGGAGGATGATAGCTAGGCTCAACCAAGATGCTTTCTAGACAAAATTCTTTAAGACCAGTGCGGTCTCAAGACTGTTCTAAGGTTCTTACTAAGTGGTTTTAGTTGCTTTCCAAAGAAACAGTGAAGCTTTTAATTATGTGTAAAACTTTGAAAGTTTCTCTTGATGAATAGTTACCAAAAAACTCTTTGGTGATTTTAGACTTCAAACTGATTTCTCTCTCTGTATCAATAAATTATTGATTCATATAAAGGGTGTTACAGAGATTATTTTTGTTTTCAGAATGAAAAAGTTAAACATGAGAAAGGCTTTAACTTTCGTCTTAAAGGGCACACTTTAAGGGGTTAGTTTTAGAAGAAGAAAAAGAAAAACAACAACAAAAAAGAAACCCACAGTTGTGAAATTCAGTTCAGTGCTAATATTCTTTACAGGAAATTCCTGTAAAGGAAACAGGCTTGCTCACCCTTTCAACTAAACCCAACCACAAACCTCATCTGATCGTGTAGATGAGAAGAGACGAGTTTTAGATGTTTCATGCATTTCCTCTATTCATAAAAGTAGTTAATTAATGGTCACTTACAAAATACCAAAAGTTTTTCTTTTTCCCTTCAGGTATAACTCATCATTTCCAAACTTGTGTGAGCTAAATGCTGTTGTGTCTTCTCCAGGTACCTTTCTGAATGCAAAGAGGTATAGTAGAACTCTCTGAAAATGGATATTCTCAGATGTTCTTCAGCTACAAAAGCGGGCAGTCACTGAAATAAGGACATGAAATTCCTTCCTCTTTTTTTGTGTCTTAAGAGCAGGAAGTAAAGGTAAGGCAATGATACATTATTTCACTAGATTTCCTAACCAGAAATTGTAAGCTGAGAAAAGAGCTTAGATAAATTTTAAAAGGAATTGCCAACACAATTTATTTTCTTAGAATATTTTAGAGTAACAGTAACGTCTATATGGAATCTTCTTTTTTTTCTTTTCCAAGCTGCAATTTAGAATAAAGCTATATATAATGTTTTGAGCATTTTGTGGGAAGGGTACTGATAATAAAGGGATTTAAGATATTTGCTGAATTAGAACGGCCATATGAATTTGATCATAAGCTCTTTTGAAAGCAGGAACTGCACACTTGGTTCTTTGTAATCCCTAAGCCATGGAATATAAAACTACCTTTGGCTGTGTCAGAATCAGAGTCATACTAGTTAAATTAAATACTACTATTATTAATGCCAGTCCAGATGTTTATATGCACAAGTGTTCTCTATGTATCAAGACTGATCCTGTGGGAAATTGTAATTTACGTTTGTCTTTGACTATGAGATTCCCCTTCTGAGTCTCAGACCCTCTGTTGACACCTGCCTCCTTCAGCATTTTCCTCTTTCCTTTCTCCTATCAAAAGCTTTAATTGGCAAACATTTTAGTTCATTGTTTTTCTCAGGGTAGTTGAAGGTGTAACCTTGTCTCACTGAGGGGGATATCTTCATCTTCCAGCAAAGGAATTATGGCTTTCAAAAAACAGGTCTGGAAAATGTTTTGGGGAAGGGACAACTGAGATTCTTGGCGTCACCTGTTAGTCTTTGGTCGTCTCCTGTGAGGGGACAGCATGTAGTGATGGGAAGATCAGAGACTTTGAGCTTCTATAAATTTAGATATGAATTAGTCTTGTACTACTTACCAGATGTATGATAACTATTAACAGCAGGGACCACTATTTCTAGCAATGTGAGCCTCGGTCAGCTCATCGATAAAACAAGAGGAACAACACCCATTTTCCTAAAGTGACTGGAAAGTAAATGAAACAGCAGGGGTCCACTATTGTCAATGTCACTTGTCCATAATATCACTCCCATGAACACAGACTGGTTAGGCTTAAGTTGCCCAGTGCTTGATAAATAATAAATTTTGCACCGTGCATGATGTCCTGTGACTCACTGAAGCATTTTGGTAGCACTAGAATGAAAGGCATCGCATAGATTTGAGATGGTCTTAAAAGGTAGAAGTTGATAAACAAGCCACACGGTGCGTTACCCCACATTAATGGAGCTTCCAGAAGGGGCTTGTCCTTGCGTTTTTAGTTGTCGACAGCGCTGGCAATAGATACTATAGTTCAGTGTTAACCACCCCCCTCACCCTTCTGGCTCACTCCCCTCACCAGCTAAACATGTTCAAAGTTCTCCCATCTTCAACAAATGATCAAACACAGGTCTTTCTAGATCTGGTCCTCTCTCTCGTCTTCATGGTGCGTGTTGTAGGACAAGCTGTGCCTCACAATTGTCCACATTGTCATCCGCGGCTCCTCTTCATCATGCAGGTCTTCATCATCTTACCCCCTGTTGCCTGAGCTGCTGTCTTGGTTGCCAACCGTAACAGATCCCATTCAGTCCTTACTGTGCCTGACTTCTCTGACAATAACACCTAGTCTCTCCTTAAAACTTTGTCTGCCCTTAGTTGCCTCTGTGTTCTATCTCTTTTTTTTCTTTTTGGATTTATCATTCTTAATTTTCCATTGGCTCTGACCCCCCTTAAATGCTGGTATTTCTCAGGCGACTTTGTCTGCCCTCTCATCACAATCTACAAACATTCCTTGATGATTTTATCGCCCTCCTCCCTGCTACTGATTCCCAGATCCCTCCCCGAGTCTTATCCCTACATATTCAGCTCTTAGAATGCTCCAGCTGGATTCCCAAAAACACCTCGAGCTCAATGTTTCTACTATAGGAAATGATAATCAACTTACAAGTATTAAAATAACTCACTCCTCCAGCATCTGAAGAGGCGATATCTCTTGTTAAAGACATGGTCCGTGTGTGTGTGTGTGTGTGTGTGTGTGTGTGTGTGTGTGTGTGTTGGAAAATTGTTGGAGATGAAGAATTTTAGGAGATGAGAAAAGCCACCGGGAGGGAGTTATTTTTTATGAGAAAAATATGGAGATACCTGGAAAGAAAGCTCTTGGGAAAGTAGGAGGAGCTGATTGCAGGAATGGCCAGAGAGGGTAGGAAGGAGCGAGGAGGAGAGCTTGCAGGGATAGCTGGATGTGGAAAGAGAGAGAGAGAATTTTACTGATTAATTGATTTGGTAAAATGCCTAAAAGACAGGGAGATTTTTAAAGATGGTTTTTAGAGTGTTTGACCATATATTATGTTCAGTGAGCCTTCCTTCCTTCCTTTCTTCTTTTCTCTTCCACTCTTCTTTCTATCCCTTCCTTCCTTTCCTCTTTTTTATTTCTTTGTTATCGCTGGACTTTAAATCTTTCCTTTAGTGCATTTTGTTGTAACTGTTTGTTTGAATGTCTGTGTTCTCCACTCCTTAATGGACTTTTGAGGACTCCATTTTGTACTCCAATCATTGGCGCCCTCCTGAATCTCAGTAAAGCATCTAATACAGTAGGGGTGTTTAGGGGAATTTTTAGCCAAAGTTCTGGGGAAATTACCTTATTCCTACATCCCTTAAAAGTAGACCATAGGTTCTTTTTTTGTGAGTGATAATAGTTCAGAACTCTAAGAGGCGCAGACAAAACTGTGTTATAGCGGAGTACTTTTATTTTCTGCTCAAAACAAAATTAAATAATAATCAAATATTACCCACCCGGTATCTTTATCTCTCTCTCTTAAGTGGATTGCAAGTTCTGAGGGCTTCCCGATCAACAACATGAACAAAAGCACCAGTGGCCCAGCCCAGTCACTGATTCTGTCAAGAGAGAGAATCCCTTTCCTATTTAAGAGGATCAGCAATGACGGCATCTAGTGACAAATATCCCTAGAGGGGCAGGCTTCCTCTATTCTCTAACAATTATTATAAACTCGTTAACATGCAGACAGTCCCAAACGTTATACACAAAAGAGATATCTCCAGTTTCCTTAACTATGCAAAATCTGACATTTTCATTCACCTCGGGTCATCTTTTAAAGAAAACCTTCGTTTCGCTGTTTTCAAATTACTCACGGAAATATACATACTAGGTGAGAACACTAAAAGAGAGAGAATTTCATGACGGAAAATGGGCTCAAAAGAACGTACTGTAGGGTACGTAGGTCCAAGTGATGCCATAGGCTCATGATGCTCTTGTTCCTTTAGATGTACAAGAAACGACACATATGAGGAGATGTCTACATACCACTTAAAATCCTCACACAAACCATGGGCATGGGAAGCCCTATTTGGGTAGGACCTGCCCCCTCAAAGCTTCCTGTGTGTCTTGCTTTTTGATCACCAGTTTGATTTCTCCACTTCCCATTTCTTGTTTTACAGAAATAAAGAGGATTCTCCAGCGAGAGCTCTGAATTACAATGCCTTTTACTCTTGCAACAGAACATACTTATTGAAGCAATGAAAGGACCAAGGGAGAAAGATGCTTTATTTGTGCTGGATATTTCTTTGGCTTGTCTCAAGAGAGAGAATTAATGGATTTAATATTTCAGGTAGACGTTTTCATTTTTCATGTTAAATTGTGAGTCTTGTGGTCAAAGTTTAAAGTGGCAGATAATCTGATATATCAGCCACATGATATATTAGCGTGCGACATTTCCTTCCTACTGTTAAAATGGGAATAGAGGGAGAAATTACTGGGCTGAATATCTTTCAGCTGACACCAAGGACTGATGAACAATCGAGTTACCATAGCTGGGTGCTCAGTGGCGGCAGGTGAGGAGGAATCAACCGTGGCTCAGCCATCTTTAACAGGAAACCTCTGTTGCTAATGGCAACACTGTAGGCCCTTGGGAGGGAGTTAGGACGTGATCTTTTTTTCCCTTACAAAATGGGAACAGTGAAGAAGAAAGACTCACAAAGAAAATTAATCACTTGTTAAATCAAGTCCTATTGTAGAGTTGAGTTTGAATCTCATCTTCTAATTCGTTTCTATTCTGATTGGTTTGTTTGTGATTTTCAGATTGCTCCACCAAAAAACTCATTTGGACATATCATGCAACGAGTGAGGAGGAATTTATCTTATTTTGTGATTTGCCAGAGCTACAGAAATCCCATTTCTTCCGGAGAAGTCAGCTATCACCAACCCAAGTCCCTGAACTTGTGCCCTGCCGTGGCAGTAAGGACTTATCCAATGTCCAATGGTACCTACAACCTCAAAATGGAGATCCACTACGGGAAATTACTAGAGACCATCCTTCCATCAAGAGTGCCCTTCATTTTTCCACCATACAGATGAACGATGCTGGGTCGTATATTTGTAGACCCAGGATTAGGTATGTCCCAAATTCATTCCTGTCTGAAAACATTCCCAAATCCTTTATTAATTGGGATACAATATCTATGTTCACCGGACCTTGTTAACTCTCCTAGAAGCCCCCAGGATGATGCCTGTTGTATCAAGATGGTCTTAGAAGTCAAGCCCAAGAAAAATACATCCTTTCCATGCTTTGAACATAAGCATAAGCAATTCCTTCTTCTTGGTAGCATTGATCCAATTTATTGCCCCAGTCTCCACTGCCAGAGTGATACACAGTGTCCAGAAGTGACCTGGTACCAGGTAAGAATGATTCTCTGAAATTGATATGAGTGTGGTTTTTATGGTAACATCTCTGTAGTTACTTCATAGCAATGTGGGTTTGAGAATCTGAGGTCTAGAATTCCCAAAGACTTGCCTCATGCCTGTGGACAAGGCCGGAATGGTCTTTTCCGCCTTCTCTTTAGCCACAGAGTCTGATGTTCCAATTATTAGAACCATCCTTTTGAGCCATGTACCAATGCCAAAACAATGCCTAAAATTCAAGTCTATTACACATGTAGTAAGACATAAGGTTACCAATATCTACTAACGCAGAAAGCTAGATTACAGGCAGTCCCCGGGTTACAAACAAGGTCTGTTCCTGGGTGTGTCTTTAAGAATTTGTGGGTAAGTCTTACTTAGTCTTACTTTAGTGCAAGGAAAGGCTCCAAGACTTTCCAATGATTTAAAAGCTGCACGTACAGCAAGTGATTGTGATGAAGAATTTATTGGGAGTAGGAGTTGGTTCAGTCGTTTCAAAGTGAGAACAAATATACATAACATTAAAGAGCAAGTATGTCTGTAAGTCAGAACCCGGGGACTTAGTGCAGTTCATTTTAACTATTTTTGAAAAGCAGTGGGCATTCCTGAGAGGAAGGGGGCACAAAATAAGTTAGATTTGAATTCTCTGTGAAAGAAATTGGAGATGGAATATTTTCCAAAGAGGGCACACCTGGGAGGAAAGTTATGGCATTGGGGGATAGGTATGGCATTGGGGGATAGGTGTCTCGTACAGCTAAGAGAGCAGGGAAGGAGTGCAGTGCTAGAGAGAAAAAGAGAACAGAAGCAAAGGAGAAGCACATTTCATAACGATGTTGCCATCACATGGGAGGAACTTCCATAACCAAACACCTCACATTTTTACCATGTTCCATAGTTTTTCCAAGTTCTAACATACAAATCAATGTTGCTCCTCCAAAGTAGCCCTATGCCAGCTAATCCCTGTGTGCAGGAACGGATTAATCAGTAAGCAAGGTATACACCAGCTGAATTGTGTTTACTTACCTGTAGTACACAATTTCACATGGGAAGTGTGGTGAAAAACAGGTGAAATTGTGCACTACAATTTAGTAAGTAAGCCTTGCATACCTTGCTTATTGGGTCATCTGTCCCTGCCTTTGTGGTAGTATCTAGGAATAGAGTTTATGCTCCTCCTACAGTTGCAATAGATTTTTTGAAGTCCAGTATGCTGCCTTAAAAATTCAGGCAAAATTTTAAATTTAACTTTACTATCTGTTAATATAAAAATATCATTTTTAAATTGCCACTGATTAAAGGAAAAAAAACAAAAACCATGAGCCATGTTTATTGGTGGTTTTGTATACTTCAAGGCTTACAGTTAGAGACCCCTGAGGGTTCAATAGGCTCCTAGGTGGTGCAAACATGGACTTCATGGCAATGAGCTTTTGTTTCTCGGGTTTTTTGTTTTGGGGTGAGGGGTGAGTACAATTGAAGTCCCTAGGCTGTGCAAAGGGTTAATGTGCTCACTGCTAACTGAAAGGTTGGAGGTTCAAGTATACTCAAAGGCACTTTGGAAGAACGAACTGGAGGTCTACTTCTGAAAAATCAGCCATTGAAAACCCTATGGAGCACAGTTCTACTCTGACACACATGGGGTGACCACGAGTCAGAGTGAACTGGACAGCAAATGGGGGTTTGGGAGTAGAATTTTACTATGGTGTGAGAACAGATTTTCTCTCTTGATTCTGTTAAGACTCTGTGATCATAGGTAGATAGGTGTTATGATGTCCGCTATTGAAATACGTATACAGAGAGGGGGAGTGATATGCTAAAGTCTCATATTTGTATTTTAAAGTGGCAATGAAAATACTCTGGCCTCAATAAAAACCTAATGTAAGCAACACATTAATTTCTTAACCTCTAAAGTGAGGTGGCTAAGAATAGCTAATGGTTCTGTTCACTATTTTCAGTTCTGTCTGAAGAACAAAACTTCTGCTGGTTCAAAAGTCTCTGTGTTTGGACTGTCAGGTCTCTCTCTCGGTCTAGTAGACCAGTGAAGCAGGCTGGGCCCCAGCTGTCTCAGGTGAAAATGCTTTTGAATTTTCAATGGTTATATACCTGAAATGAAAGGTATTATCGCTCGCAGCTAAGTGCAAGCCACAGTGTAGTTGCCAGCCCTCTGCGTATGTTGCTTTCAGAAGCTAAACCCTAACGTTGTATGACATTCCCAAAAGGAGGCTCTGTTTCACTTCTCTGGGGCGTCAACTGCAAACGTCAGGATGTGTTTAATGGTAAACAGACAACTGTCCTAAATGTAAGTGAATCAGAATTGTATCATCTGATGCAGATATGAACAGGTCATGGTCTAGGTTATGCTTCGTAAATTGCTCGTGTGCATATGTGAACACACACACACACCATAACCTAGAAGTCATAGACTTCATGGAAGTAGTGTGTCATTGAAAGTGATGACGTTAGACTGGAACTAACACCCCATGTCCCTTTCCTTCATGCTAAACCCAAGGTACTGGGGCAGGGGATGGGTCACCTCTGCAGTACCTCATAACAGGATGAAAACATGGTGTTATTCAATTCAGGTGAAACTTCTGATCAGGAATGTGCCCATCAGGTGGGTAGAGTGTCCAATTAAAATAAATTTATGAGCTTGGAGTCCATGGAGGGTTTCTAATATTTTTGTTACATCAAGACAACAAAAAAACTTAGGCTTGGAGGTTATTTAAAATATTTAACAAGTAACAGGGTCCCTGCGTGGTACAAACGGTTTGCACCCAACTACCAACCTAAACTAAGAAGTTAGAACTAAAGTAAGTTATTCATTATTCATTCTAAGAACATCTTTTCTGTATTTTCCTAATTTCTAACAATGTAATGAAAAAAATAGCTTTGGTGTAAATAGACCTCATCTTAAACAAATGATTAAAAAAAAAAAAAACCCGTTGCCATCGAGTCAATTCCAACTCATAGTGATCTTGCAGGAAGAGAGTAGAACTGCCCCATAGGGTTTCCAAGGAGCAGCTGGTGGATTCAAACTGTTGACCTTTTGGTTAGCAGTCAAATGCTACATTTAATGAAAGAACATTTTATAATCTTCAGCTAAGTAAATCTTTGACATGAAGCAAAGTTATGATGAAAAACAGTGAGAGAGGTTCCTTTTGCACCGCCTAGACCACCGATATGTGGGTGTTGGTGACACTGCTGTCACCTTTTGTCAGTAGGACTTGTACCGAGCATAACTATTCCGTTGGTGGTTTAAGACAATTTCACTTGTATGCCACATCTGCTTGCCATAATGCTGACGTGGTTGCTGGGTTGTTTCTCTGCCCCGAGTCCCATGGAATTTTTGCACATATATCTTCCATTTCTCCTTTTCATTTCCTTTTGGCCTAGTTGTCATAGTAACTATCACTGGTTGGCATTTAGTGAAACTAGTGATATGGAGAACTGGTGGGCATGGTAAGGCTGGACCCAAATAAGGAAGAAGAAAAGACAACTTAGATTTGATGTTTGAAAACCATTCCAAGGCTGATACATTTGCCCATTCCATTGTTCTCATTATGAACGTTGCCGACACCCCATAATTCTGGAAGACTTTCTAACATCTGTTGAATGCAATATTCTACATGTCATCCAACCAATACTAAGAAGAGAAGAACTATTTCTGTCCTTGTTCTAAACAGAGTATTTATGCAATCAGCAATTCTATTAGCTATGAGACATTATGTGGTTGATTCATTGTGGTTAGCAGGTGGGTCTTTTTTACAAGAACTATGATCAGGACCAAAACCAAAAACGAAACCCATTGCCACTGAGTCGAATTCCAACTCATAGCCACCCTATAGGACAGAGTAGAATTGTCCCCGTTGGATGGCCAAGGCTGTACATCTTTAGGGAAGCAGACTGCCACACTTTCTCCTGCAGAGTGGCTGGAAAGTTCAAACCACCAATCTTTCAGTTAGCAGCTGAGCACTTTAACCACTGCACCACCAGGGATCATCATGATCCAGACAGTTCTATGTTGGCTAACAGTAGAATTTGTACCTATGTTCATAATTTTACATTTATTTCTATTAAAATCTGTTTTTGTAGTTTTAGCCTTTCATTACATGTGTCAAGAGATTGGAATTCGGATTTTTGAAATCCCACACATTAGTCATTCTTCCCAGATTTGTGAGCCCTGTAAACAAGGCGATATGTCTTCACTCAAGCCGCTAGTGACAATATTGAACAGGCTATACTGAGAACAGAGTTTGTGGCTGTTGACTCCCGAGTGACCCTGCTACTTTCATATGGTCCATTAAACTCACGGCTTGGGAGTGTTGCTGCTCAATTAATTAAAAAGACACCCAAATGTACTATCATTCAGCCCAAATGTATCAAGAAGATCATGAAAGTATTTTCCAAATGACTCACTCTGGTGAAGGTGCAATGTGTCCGCTGTATTCCTCTGTGCCTCTGATGTAATCATTCTATCATAAAAGGAAATGAAATGACTTTGGTATGATTGTTGTTAGTAAATGCAAACTGACTGATACTAAGCACACTTTTCTAAGATTTCATAAGCCATCTGTTTAATAATTCACTCAAGACTTTGGATAGGGGTTGACATCTAACTCACAAATCTATAATCTCCATAATGTATCTTTTTTTCATTAAAAGCTTGTTTTTGTTAGCAGCCATTAAGTTGGCCCCCTACTCATGCTGACCCCATGCACACAGAACAAAATGCTGCCCAGTCTTGCGCCATTCCCGTGTTTGGTTGCAGATGGAACTGTTGTGATCTATAATGTTTTCATTGGCTGATTTTTGGAAGTAGATCACGAGGCCTTTCTTTCTAATCCATCTTAGTTTGAAAGCTCCACTGAAACCCGCTCAGCATCCTAGCAACATGCAAACCTCCACCCACAGATGGATGGTGGCCGTGTAGGAGGTACACTGGCTGGGAATCGAACACAGGTCTTCCACATGGGAGCCTAGAATTCTACCACTGAACTACCATTGCC